TAAATATAGGACACTTTAAAACTATATTTCTTCATTCATATATATATATATATATATATATATATATATATATATATATATATAATTTAAAAAAAAAAACAAGCAACTTTAAGGGTCCATGATTATAATTTATTTCTCCAGGGAGTTTATTATTCCTGGTTCATAAGACCTCATTAACAAGGATGAAAAAATGAATTTAAATTTACATATAATTTTTTACACTTTTGAGGGGGAGTATTAAGTTGATGTAAGGTGATATAGAGAGTGCTGAGAGATAGTGTGACAGACATGGTCGAAATTAGAGAGGGAAGGGAGAGATAGGAATGTTTTTGAATTTATTTTTATTACAATACTTTATAGTGAGGAAGGATCAGACACTGGCCTATTTAATAGGTCAACTCACCGGAAACGGTATAGTGAGAAAAAAAAGAGGGAAGTAAAGACGTAAGAAATAAGTGATGGACTTAGGGTTTTGAAAGGGTGAAAGGGGAATATAAATTTGGATGGGGAAATTAAAAAATTCAACGTATGTGGGCATATAGCGGCCAATCTTGAAAAACAGATTTATATACTTTTTTAATTTTTTTTACATTTTTCGGTTAACATTTGATAATAATATCGTGGACACTGCCGTCGTTGATCGACGCGAGGTGTTGACCCGCGCCTACAGGGGACTATTTTACGACGTATAAGGGTCAGACAACTCAGTTCCTAGGAACCGACAGCCAGACAACATGCACATATGATTTGCTTATAATGATAAATGCTTTGTGCAGTACCAACCAGATTTTTTTGAAGAGCTGAATAGAGAGACCTGCCACAAGGTCCCTAAATGACCCTCGCCAGATTTTGAATTCAGAGTTGTCCTTCTCCTAGACCAGTTGCCACCCAAGGCTATAAAACCCAGTATGTCCGGCTATTTGGCCATAGCTGGGTGTAGAAGAAGAGGATTCATACCTTTTCCATGGGCATTAGCGCCATACCATTCCCAAGGGTATATATATATTTTTTTATTATTATTTCATTTAGATTCCTCGACTAGTTTCGACTAAAATGGCCATCATCGGGAGGAGAAATATTTCTGCTTGCTGGTAGCACTAAACTACAGAAATGAATGTCTTGATGAAGAAAATGAACTTTTGTCTGTAGTTTTCATTTGTTTTTTTTTTATTTTTTTAACATGAAACTTTTAACATTCCTTGTGTTGGTCAAACAGTCTCTTTTAAGTTGTTATTTGAGATAAGAGCTGGATAGATACATATTATTCTGAATTCTCTGGTCAGTTTGACAGTTTTATTGGACCTGGTGAGGGGATGTGTCTCTTTTTAGTGTTTGTGTGTGTGTTATTTGGTTCTTAGAGAGTGAGTATGATATGTTTAAGCGTGTGTATTGCTGTAGGTGTGTGTTATCATTTGGCTCATTAGGGCGTGAGTGAGTATGATGTGTGTAAGTGTGTATATTCGTGTGGGTGTGTGTATAAGTGTGAGGCCTCCACACCTCCATGACTGTCTTGTGTGGGTGAGAAATGTGGGTAGGTTTTGATTTGTTGAGTTATATATTGGTACTATCTGTATTGTTAAATTTATGGTTTTCTATTCTCTAAATTAGAGTGAATTTGGCATGGGTTTTGAAATCGTGTTTTTCCAGGCGGAAATGTTGTTCTACAGGTAATAATTTATCATGGGGAGTCGACTTAATTCGATTACGATAATTATTAATTAAACATATATATATATATATATATATATATATATATATATATATATTAGCAGTAGAACCCACCTTCGACCGGGTGTTTTATTACTGGGAATTTTTGCCGTTCAGTTGGAGCAGTTTAAGTTTAAAGTCATCCCACTCGAAAATAATTATTAGTAACAACAATTGGGTGCAACTGAGGCACATCCCCAGTGGTGGTGATGGTGGGAGGTGGGGGGCAATCATTTGAATGGTGGGGGTGGCACTGAAAAAAGCCGTTTTCAATCTTGCAAGGAAAGAGCCTCTTCCATGAACCGAATAATAATAATAGATACGATAATTTTTATTTATAAAACCAAATATATATATATATATATATATATATTTATATATTTTTTTATATAATTCTAATAATCTTTTGCGTTAGATTTCAACTCTCTAAATTGACTGTACGCTGTTTTTACAGACATTAAATTTTGCCTTTGATTTTGCACAAAGTGTAAAAATTAAGTTTTTTTCGATTTTTCACCTTCGAGTTTGTAATTTTTTACCATCAATTTTAACTCAAAATCAGCCCTGAATAATTATCTATCAAACAAAATATAAAGTTTCATCGAAATCGGATGAAACTGTGGAAACGTATAAACATTCGATCACACACACAAATTTTGAGAATTATAAATATACATATATATTAAAGACATTTTTTTAGGTTTAACATTCTTTTTATAGATACAAGTATTTAAGTAAATACTCTGTTTATAATAAACAGTATTAAATAACATTTACCGGCCTGAATGTCCGAGAAATTTTCATAGAAAATATTCGTCCTTTGACAGGATTCGAAACTGCATCCTATACGGAACCGTCATTTACGCTGACGTGCTTTAACCGACTCGGCCACAAAGGAGCGTTCGGTAGGCAAGGTCGAATTTACTGCTTATAAACTTCAATCTTCCATGAATCTCGTACATTCATAACTGCTCATGGCGTATCAAATGTAAACAAATGACGTCATACATTAAGAATTGGACAAAGTCCGACAATTTATTAAACACATTTATTTAAAAAGAAAAATGTCTTTAATAAATTGTCGGACTTTGTCCAATTTGTATATATATATATATATATATATATATATATATATATATATATATATATATAGAGAGAGAGAGAGAGAGAGAGAGAATTTGAGATATGGATAATTACTTATATATTTTCTCCGCTTCTCGTTGAGTAATAATGCGTCCGCTTCAATATATTACCCTGTATTGATGCCACGTCACATTCTAATCTTTCTTTGCTATCGGTGCCGAATTGGTCGCAAAGTAATCTTGCAGCTATTTGCTCATGAGGAACAGTTCATTTTCGCTCTCCATATTTCCAGCCAAGGAAAATATGTGCGCGTAATTTCCGCGGTTATCAGCGCGAAGAATTAGCATCTGTGTGTCGAGTTCAATTTCCAGCCGAAACCATTATATTCGCTTTCGCAGATATACACTTGGAACGGTATATATCCATCTCTTCTGCTCCCCAACTCCGTTCTGAAGGTTAGTAAATGGGCAACTGGTATCCCTAGCCTCATTTAGCAACCCGTCTAAGAGAAAGAGAACGCGATATCTAAACCTAGTTGCTTGTGATTCTAGCACATGTAACCATCCCGGAAAAGCCTAATTGCTACGAAAACCACAGAAGCGACACCATATTCCACTGGGAGTTTACACGTTTAAAATATCCGCATATTTCCGTAAAGACCTATTTCTGTATTAATCTATCTACTTAGGAGAATTATTAAAGTTTTAGGACATTTTTTTCATGTACTCGGTGCAACAGCAAAATTGTGTAAATCCTGTAACAGCAAATTGTCGAAATCGTGTAACAACATTTTCCAATTGTTAGATTAAGCTCTGAACTATTGTATCTTAGAAATGATTAAAGATATCTTACTGGAATTCTCTGAGATTTTTATGACATTATTTGAATCTATTTTGACCAATGAGAATGCATAATTACACTCCAATCTTAACAAAAGAACCGTGATGAAATAAACGAAAATGACATGTTAATAATTAATTAATCATAGCGAAATATCAGAAAATATATATATATATATGTGTGTGTGTGTGTGTGTGTGTGTGTGTGTGTGTGTGAAGAGTGTGCGTATATAAATATATATATATATATATATATATATATATATATATATATATATAATAATAATAATAATAATAATAATAATAATAATCGACTCTCCTTCGAGATTCGACGTATGAGGGTCAAGCAGATCAGTTTCAGTAAACCGACAGTCCGACACCGGCACATGAGATTTGATTATAGTGGTGAAGGCCACGTGCAGGACCATCAACACAAAAAAGTGGATATATATATATATATATATATATATATATATATATATGTTATCATTGTTATTATTATTATTATTATTTATATATTATATGTGCGGTACTTATTTGAAAGTGTTTGTCTGACGATCGCAAAAAGTGTGAAACCCCGGATCACACACCCACATCAAATCAACCAAATATATATATATATATATATATATATATATATATATATATATATATATTGAAATGTACATTTTAATTTTTATGAAATGTACATTTTTTTTTTATTTTTAAGACATTTATTTATACATTCTTTTATAGATACAAATATTTAAGTAAATGCTCTGTTTATAATAAACAGTATTAAACAACATTTACCGGCCTGAATGTCCGAGAAATTTTCACAGAAAATATTCGTCCTCCGACAGGAATCGAACCTGTATCCTATACGGAACCGTCATTTAGCTTGACGTGCATTTACCGATTTGGGCAAAGAGGAGCGTTCGGTTAGGAAGACGTCATTTGTTTACATTTGATACGCAATGAGCAGATATATATGTACGTGAGAGATTCATGGAAGATTCAAGTTTAAATACAGTAAATTCTAGTTTTCTTCTCTACTGTTCCCTCTCTTTAAAATTTATTCGCCATTCTCTTGATGGTTCTTGAATTGCCGTTGAAGATGGAAGCAAGAATGATGGTCCCATTACTGAAAGCCTAAATCATCTTTTTCCTCTCACCATTGCTCAGCTGTGAAGACATAGTGGGGCTGATACAAAATGACGTTCCCTTTCTAGCTAAATAGCTCAAAGGGTGTCAAAATGGCAAAACGTCTTATCTCAAAACCAGTAAAAAAGGAATTTTAGTGGTTTTTATTTAAACATATTTTTTGGTGTGGATAATTATGCTGTTAAACGATGTGGACAGTTTTGCTGTTACAACCGGTATAAGAAGGCGATGCGCAGAGCAGTTCTGTGCAAGAGAGTCTCAATTCGAAGTGGGTGAACTCGCCACGTTTTGATCGCGTTTTTAATGTGAGATGAAAAGTTGATACTTTAGAACAAGTGACGCGGCAGAATTTTCTCATCGAGATATAAACTCGTTAACATGTGGTTACCTTGCGTCTAATGTAGGTTTTAGTGACTGGCGGGTATGCAGCTGAATCTGACCACTAAAGCTAAAGCGAAACAATAACAGCAGAGAATTAATGTCTTGAAATTGATCAAATGCGCCAAAAGTTACCTTTTGAACGACATTGCCCTACCGCAGGTCACACAACTTATACGCCAGTACTTCGAACGAAATAGCTTACGACACTGTCTAATAAAGCATACTAACTGGAGATTTCTACAAGCAAGTACCATTCTTTTTTTCAATTTGCAACGAAAAGCTTCAACAAATATGAGAAAAATATCCCTCGAAAAATTAGTCGCCCCCGGAATTTAGAATTCGATGTTAACTAAAGAATCCAGAATTCTATGCTAAATGAAGAAATCAGAATTCTATGGTAGCGGAAGAATTCATAATTCTATGATGTCTGAAGAGTTTAGAAATCTACGTGAAGAATTCAGAATCCTGTGATGACTGAATAATTCAAAAACTCTGTGCGAACTGAATGATTCAAAATTCTGTGCAAACTGAATGATTTAAAATTCTGTGCGAAATGAATGGTTCAAAATTCTATACAAACTGAATGGTTCAAAATTCTATACAAACTGAATAATTCAAATTAATTTATGCTAACTGAAGAGTTCAGAATTCCGTGTTGACTGAAGAATTAAAAATTCTATGCAAACTGAAGTGTTCAAAATTCTATGCTCACTGAAGAAATAAACAAGTTGAAAAAAATCTATTTCAACATTCTAATAGTTTTTTTTTTTTATTTCGATCAATAAATTTTATTCTAACCAGCGATCTTATATTTAATGTTAAAAAAACTTCCGTAATCTTTCTATCTATCATTGTGTTAAAATGCCTGGCATGTATCACAAGTACAGTTATGCAATATTCATTCATAATAATAAAAAAATGATTCATTCTTACAACAAGTGAAATGTTATACGGCTTAAAATAACCCACAAAAGGTCAATAAACTGTTAGAAATGAAACAATCAATAATATATATATAAATTCTATAGAATAGACAGAGAGAAGATATATTAGTTCTGTGACTGAAGCCAAGATCTATCTGTCTCTCTATCTATCTATCTCGGTTTTTTACACATGTATTTATGTCACTTTGTTCACATCTATCTGTCGTTTTCAGTCTTTTCATATCTCTCTCTCTGTTTCAGCCTTTTCATATCTATCTATCTATCTATCTATCTATCTATCTATCTATCTGTTTCAGTTTTTTTTTTATATCTATCTCTCTGTTTCAGTCATTTCGTATCTATCTATTTCAATCTTCATATCTATCTATTTCAGTCTTTCCATATCTATCTATCTATCTATCTATCTATCTATCTATCTATCTATCTATCTATCTATGTCAGTCACTTCATATCTATCTATCTATCTATCTATCTATGTCAGCCACTTCATATCTATCTATGTCAGTCACTTCATATCTATCTATCTATCTATCTATCTATCTATCTATCTATCTATTTTTTTCTGTTTTTTTTTTATATCTATCTCTCTGTTTCAGTCATTTCGTATCTATCTATTTCAATCTTCATATCTATCTATTTCAGTCTTTCCATATCTATCTATCTATCTATCTATCTATGTCAGTCACTTCATATCTATCTATCTATCTATCTATCTATCTATCTATTTGTTTCAGTTTTTTTTTATATCTATCTCTCTGTTTCAGTCATTTCGTATCTATCTATTTCAATCTTCATATCTATCTATTTCAGTCTTTCCATATCTATCTATCTATCTATCTATCCATCCACGATGCGATCAGTTAATCTTATATTTTTGAAGATCACGATGTTATTAGCAAGCCAGACTTCCTAAGAGACTAAATCAGCCCATCAACAAAGTTAGCTCGATTTTCGTTTCTTCTGGACACAGACATTAACTCCCATTGCGGCAAGTAACTACGTCAGTAGCCAGATAGACAAACGGAATCCTGGATGAATTTTGCGTCAAGAATAGAGTTAATGAACAGAGGAAAAGGAGAACAATATTATTTATGCTTTTCTTGCGCATTCTGATAGTGCAGCAACTTTAAAGAGGTGAGAAAGAAATAAAATACTAGAAATGGAACACGTGAAGAAAAGAGAATCCCGCTGAAGCAAAGATAGCGTATCAATCGTCAAAGAACAGTCTGGTTTTCTCAGTTAATTAATGAAACGGCAACATGCTTCCAACTTGTCAGCGACTACAACTTAGAAGACAACGGAATTATTGTGCACATTTAATCATAATTACAACTCCAGTGAAAACTGGATATTATTGCAATTCATTTTCATTTTATCTTTCCAGGGCAATGCTTAATTTTATTGACTTCATCACTGTCTACAAATATATTCTCAGGCAATCAATTGAACAAATAACCTCTTCTTATTTCTTCACAGTTTCTACATATATATATATATATATATATATATATATATATATATATATATATATATATATATATATATATATATATATATATATATATATGGACAAAGTCCGACAAATATTTTAATATTTTTTATGCTTATAAATTCTTTTTTTATAGATACCAATATTTAAGTAAATGCTCTGTTTATAATAAACAGTATCAACAATATTTACCGGCTTGAATGTCCGATAAATTGTCATAGAAAATATACGTCCTCCGACAGGAATCGAACCTGTATCCTATACGGAACCGTCATATAGCCTGTAGTTATATTGCTTTTCTAGTTTAAAAACAGTAAAATCCACATTGCACCCGGAACGCTTCTTGGCGGAAAAATCAGTATAGCACGTCAGGCTATATGACGGTTCCGTATAGGATACAGGTTCGAATCCTGTCGGAGGACGCATATATTCTATGATAATTTGTCGGGCATTCAGGTCGGTAAATGTTGTTTAATTCTATTTTTTATAAACAGAGCATTTACTTAAATATTTGTAACTATAAAAAAAAAGAAAATATATATATATCTCCCATCGATTCGACGTATGAGGGCCAAGCAGATCACTTTCCAGGAAACCGACAACAGCACATCAGATGTGATTATAGTGGTGAAGGTTTCGTGCAAGACCATCTATTCTTTTTGAAGGGCCGAATACAGAGACCTGGTGCAATGAGTGCCACAAGGTTCCCAAACCGCCCTCCGCAGGTTTTGAATTTAAAGTTTTCCTTCTCCTAGACCAGTTGCCATCCAAGGCTATAGAACCAAGTCTGTTCTGCTATTTTACCCATAGCTGGAGGGAGAGAAAGAGGATTCATACATTTCCCAATGTTATTAGAACGTAAGTAAATGTAATGGATTCGACTGTAATTCGAACTCGGCTCTGCGATTCCTCAATCCAAGCCGCTATCCGTTAGTCCACCGTGCCTCTCCACTCTCTCTCTCTCTCTCTCTCTTCTCTCTCTCTATCTATCTATCTATCTATCTATCTATATATATATATATATATATATATATATATATATATATATATATATATATGAGGAAGAGGTTATAGTTGTTCGAACGCTAGAAAAGTGTATATTATATAAAGAAGATAAACCGCAAACAATTTTGGTTGAAATGTGGATTTTTTAGTTTTAAAATATGTATTATACATAATTCTGCTACACGAGTTTCTGGTTTCGTGATCTTTAAGCCAGCAAAGAGTAGATATTTCCATATATTACAAAAATGAATTTTTTGCGTGGTAGTAATTCAAATGTATATATATATATATATTTACAAAAATAGTATGAAAATTTTCTGTGATACGTTACATCGGTTAAGATTTCAGCTGAATGAGCTTTATTGGCTTTACCACGTCTACAACATGCGCACGAAACGAGAGACGAGTTTCAAAATGTTTGAAAGAATACATTTTTTAAAGAATTTTTTTTTTCAATCTAGCTAAATTCTGAGATAGAGAAAAAAACGACATAAAGGCGGAATTCTGGATTTTTTATTTTCTGTCGTTCGATTCTTATTGGTCAGTCATGTATCAAGCGCATTAAAACCGTAGATAATGCTATATGTGTGTAAGAAGAAAAAATTTTAATGCCTAAAACCAGACAAAAATTAACATACCATCAATGCTGTCTTTTTGTCTATTTTCTCTCAATCACTGACGGCACCTTAATAAAAGTGAAACATGCTAAATTGATATACGTTTCCTATTCGTTCTTTATCTTATATATATATATGTGTGTGTGTGTCTTTGTGTGTCTGTCAGAGTATGCAAGAATATCTGTCTTTATATACATATATGTATGTGTTTGTGTGTGTAGAAATAGTGATATAAACCTAAAAATTAGATATTAGCCACTGTATATATGTGCGTTATAGTGCATACACAGGTAAGCAAATGAATATTTATTCAATTTCATTTAAGGTGTAAAAGAAGCAGTGTCCAATTCAATTAGACTGATCTAAGAACATTATATTAATAAATATACATATACCTACCTTCGAAGTAAAACTTAAACTTTCGTGGTTATATATATATATATATATATATATATATATATATATAGATAGAGAGAGAGATAGATAGATAGATAGATAGATAGATAGATAGATAGATAGATAGATAGATATATTCCTCCAACTACCATAAAAACGCCGGTATACGTAACCATATATAGATCCAAAATTTAATCAGTTTGTGTCACGATTGCAAACAGCGTGAAACCCATGGTCAAAACCTCACATCAATCTAACTATATATATATGTATATTATATAATCTTTGTACCTCCTACGGGGAATTGGCTATTTCGGCAGACGACAAATGTGGCCGTGTGTCTTTTCAATCCCGGATTGAAAAGACAGGCGACCACATTCGTCGTCAGCCAAAATATTCTATTCCCCATATCAGGTAAAATAATTTGATTTATTATTAAATATATATCCCTGTATAAAAAAAAATATATCGAGTTCTTTTTTTGGATCAGTTGTAATATGCTGGGATCTATTTGGATTATATAACGACGGATTTATATATATATATATATATATATATATATATATATATATATATATATATATATAGTTCTCATGCTACCGCGAAAGTCGTGGCAGCATGTATCGGTTTCAAATTTGTTTATTTATGAGCCTTGTCAAGTAAGCGTAATTGCTCTGGCTTAGCCATCTTGACATACAGCCCTTTCTATTATTTAGGTAAGTGTTTTTTTGAGTTTGTTTTTAGCTTTCCTTCTCAGTGTGTGTTTCCTTTTCTCTATTTGTTTTACACGTTTTTTTTTCTTTTTTTTAATGGTTTTTGGCTTTCAATTTCTTTTTCGTTGGTTACTTGACAGGTTTTGCATTGCATTACCAACACTTTGGTTTGTTGTGTATTCATGCATCTGTCTATTCTACACTTATTTTTATGGCAATTGTTCTCATGAGCATTTATCCTTAGTGCCACAAGTGCATGAATTTAAGCGTACTTTTAGATTTGCAATGAGATCGCAACGGTTTACTGTTGAACAAGCTGCAAGTAACCCTAGGTTCCTTTATAATAGTTTCTTTTCTCGCCGAAAGAACTCTATTCCGGTTTCTTGCTTGCCCACGAAATACAATCTTAATAAATTTAAATGCAAAGTCAATTGCTATTATGGATCTTCCTGAACCATGTTTCTTGATTGTCCTTTACTTGTCTAAAATATTCTTGTTCTCATTCTGATGAATAATATACATATAAATATATATATATATATATATATATATAAATATCTTTATATATATATATATATATATATATATATATATATATTTATATATATATATATATATATATATATATATATATATATATATATATATATATATATTATAATACTGTATAAATATCTCTCTATTTATATTTTATATAATACAATAAAAGTATCTTTTATATATATGTATATATATATAATATACAAGTATCTTTTATATATATTACATAATACTATAGAAGTATCTTTATATATATATGTTATGTAATACTATTAATTATCTTTTATATATATATATATATAGTAACTGTAAACTCATTTTTTATAGTTACCGATGTACAAATTAGCCCCACTAAACGCGTGATTCCAAATATATATATATATATATATATATATATATATATATATATATATATATATATATATATATCAAGAGAGAGAGAGAGTTTTATATATACATAAATATATATATCATATCTGTAATCTCTCATATCTAGAGTGCCGCATATGCGGAACATCGCATATCCGGACATGATTTTGATGTGTATATTTGAACTATTTGGGTGATGTGTAACTGATTTGAAATTTCTTTTTTGTCGAGGAAATTTACTTCGAATAATTGCTCATGCTTCTTTCCCCCTAATGTCTTGTATCGGCGCAAAAGATAATGGAAATAAGAGGAAAGGATGACATCGAGACACATCTGCAACAAGATAGCGACGAGGTGCATGACTGCGATGAACCTTGGACTGAAATGGAAAAAGCTATTGAAAATGTTTTCAGTTTTATGGAAAGAAAGCCAGCATTCAGCTATGACGACTGCAATAACGCACGCAGAGTTAAAAATGCCTTTTGTTTAAAAAAAAATTAAGGACAAAAACAAAATGAAATGCGGAAAAAGTTGAGAATGACATTAGAAGAGAAAGATTCATCATGCAACAGCGATTAAAAAAATCCTCGTTACATTATTTGTTTTGCATACGTGGCATACTTAATTTAATAAATTTTCATTAACATTACATATTTTTTCCTTAAAATCAACTCCGTTATATTTCACTCACCATTAGCTTATTTTGTTTACTATAAAACATTGAAAATACATATT